ACACACACACACACACACACAGGGAAATAATATGAAAATGGATGTAGATGGATATGTAGATCACACTTCCTGTTGTACCTGTTCAAAAAGAAATCTGAACAGATACAACATAGGAAACAATAAATGAAAAATTAAATTCTACCAGTCAAAAACACAAACTACATTTGCTTTTGAATCTATAGCACAAGGATATTTGTGTGCAAAAATATATTTTCTTTATTTAACTTTCTATTAAATGTTATCTAATTATTGATTAGATTGAAATGGATGGAAGGATATTTACTGCGAATGGTTTTGTTGTTTTGCAGTGCATCGTTTACTCTTAATAAATCTTAATGTCTTAAAAAATTCAAGTCATCTATTTTATATTAGTAAAATGTAATTTTTAATAAGTGTAGGTCGAAATATTTTAGCATGAAAGCTATCAAGACAGTTTAAAGCTTTACAAGTCAAGGTTTTTGTGAAGAAACTGCCACCTCTTGGTAACACAGCAAATGAATAATAGAGGTGTTCCTATTCAGAAGCAGAAACATCACAGGAGAAGGAGAGATTCCTAGCAATTGATAACTGGATAGGAACTGACTGAGAGTTTTCTGTCAGTCAGCTGGGAACGGCAATTAAAATTGGCTGCATCTGTATTTCAGTTTTCAAACGAAGTCCAGTTTGGTTGCTCAATTATACTATGAAAATTCTTACCTCAGCAAGCTGGAAGAGAGCAGACTGTCTGCATAACTTTCCTTCAGGTGCTGCAGACAGCGATGACTGTGAACACACAGTAACAAGTGTGATCACACAGTTCAGCTTTCTGCTGATACCATTAATATTCAGCAACAACAACTACGAATAACAAATGCAACTGTGTTGACAGTAAACCTAGAGCATTCGAAATAACAAGCATTGCTGGTGAGAATGCTCAGTTATCACCAGTTTGGTTTACTCTTCTTTGCAGAATTGTTTTAATGTCGTAGGGCCTGGCACCCACATATGGGCACATGACATTTTGGGTTGTCTAGACCACAATACTACATTTTGCTCTTTCAAATGGCTTTCAAATGAGCCATATTGCTCAAAGGGGCACAATTGTTGTTTCTCATTTTGTTTTTATACTCAGGAAAAATTCAGCTGTGTTCAGACACCAAATAAAGAGTTTTGCACATCATTATTCAATTGTGACTTTATAGTGTTCTATCAACAGTATAAAGCCCAAATAGCAAAGAGAAATTAAAAAGGCATGCCATGAAAGAGTTCGGGTCTTTGGAGGTTAATTCAGCTACATTGAAGGGTTTTCAAGCATAAGCATGAGACCAAAGCATGTAATCTGTGTCCAGACTTTGAGTCTAGGGCAATAAAAAAACATACATTTGTTTTTTGGAATTAATCACAAGTAATTAATTATGTAAATACTGGGGGCAATTTCTCAAAAAGCCAAATGCGTTTGATGAATTGACATGTGGCAACACTGTCAGGACTCCTGCCATGACACAAGAAGCACTGCAAAATAAAAGTGCTACATGTTTTCATTTTTTTCACATTATCGTAATCTCTGGAAAAATGATGACCTAAAATTTTTCAGTTGTGTGATTAATCAGTGGTATTGCTGGCTGGTTTTGAGTTCTAGGCCATGCAGAGCACTTTCTTGTGTTTTGGAGTAACTCCTCCCACATCTAATGACTTAGTTATGATGATAGGTACCTCTTTCATGAACTAAAATTTCAGCCTACCTCAGCCACTGGTGAAAGGGCTGACTGGACCCTGTTTTCAGAAATGTCAGGCACTCTGTTTGGTATTGTCCCAGAAAACATCTGTGCATCAAATAAAGAGGGTAAAAAACACATAAAATTAAATAACACATCAGCATTAAATGACTTTTCGAAAACTCAAACCCGAGACAGTTGTCGTTTTAATCAGATAAATTTAAAACTAATCAATGACGCAATTATATGTGAGCAACACTAATATGCCAGTACCCGAGTTGGTAAAGTAAGTTTTATTTTTTGACTAATGTATAAACTGCTATGCAACTTAGTTCAAGTTCAAGTACAAAGTTTATTCGCCACATGCAACTTAATCTATATTAGTATGTACATTACTATTTGTTGACTTCCTTTTCTATTAATAATATAAATCAGCAAAGCAAATAATATTAACTAGATATTTAAATTAAATTCAGTAAATGGTTTCCTTCACTGACTGGGTCAGGTGCTTTCAAATATACACACACACACGCAGCATGGACACCTAGGTTGTCAATACAACAAGGAATGGTATGATTTTCAATCGGATATACATGGTACATGGTAACAATTTGAAAATCATACCATTCCTCGTACTCGACTTGTATCAACATCCCAGGTGTCAATGCTGGGTGACAACAACACCTCATCAGCCTTTTATGGCTTTGGGGTAATGAAAAAAATATTAGTATTGAAGGCCCTCTACTGGAGAACTTGTGCATTATCACAGTGCACCTAAAATTATACTGCTTCACATTTCAAGTGGGAAGTCAGAAATCTCAGCTTCCATTTCGGAGTGCAAAGCCCCCTCAATTCAAATTTGACTTAAAGAAAAGGAAGAAAGGAAGAAAAGCCCCCATCATCACTCACTTCACATTATCAGTCGTAAAACTGAAACGTTTTTAAATCTGTATGACTACTGTTGTGTATTTGTGACAACCCTATCCATGAAAATGCTGAAGCAGTGTTTTTGGGCTGGCTTTGGGCTTTATTGCTAATGATAAATGAATGTCTCTGCCTTGCTTAAAGCAAAGATATCCTCTTTTATTGCTTTTCCTAATGGAACACATTTAACTTGGAAGTGACATCACTGCCAGCTATGACATTTGACTTTTGGTAAATGGAGCACAGCATTAAGGCAATAATTTGTTGGAGAAAGACATTATTTGTTGTTTTGCTGTACACCACACAGTGAAATTTAAACCAAACAATGAAAATGTGATGAAGTGCAGATTTCCAGTTCTAATTCAGTTTTAAACTTTTAAAAAAGTTTGCATTAACCGTTTACGAATTCTAGTCATTTTTTAATAGGCCCACATTCTCAGAAGCTTGGAAATAATTGGACAACTGTCTGGCAAGCAGTTTCATAGCCAAGTGAGGGCTGTTCTCTTGTTATTTTATGACAAATGAAGCAGATATAATATTTGAAGCTCATTTAGGCTGCTAAATTTATATTCTAGAGCTTTTTACCCTACTTTTAAATATGAACCGCAAATATATGTCAGTGCAAGTGAAGGAGGCCATCACTAGCTTGAAGAAGCAAAATAGACAGTGAAAAAGAGAGTGAAAAAGCTTAAGGAGTATCCAAAATCAACAATCTGGTACATACTTAAAAAGAATGAATGCACTGTCAGCAACACAACAAGGTCTGAAAGACTACGGAAAACAAAGTGGATGATTGCAGAATTCTTTCCTTGGTTAAAAAAAAAAACAGAAACAAAAGCAAAACAAAAAAAACCCAAAAAGCTTCATAACATCTAGCCAAATCAAGAACATTTAATGAGTGATCATTGTCAAAATCTACAACCAAGAGACGCCGTGATGATTATAAATACAGTGGGGCAAACCACTGGTTATTGCCAAGAACAGGAAGGCTACAGAGAAAGAGAACCAGCTCATGATCCAAACCACAACATACCAAATCATTTGTCAAAAATGGCGGTGGCAATAGTTATGGTACGTGCATGTATGGCTGTAAAACATGGGTGGGGGGACTCCAGGCCGTAAGGGTCGGTGTCCTGCAGGTTTTAGACGTGTCCTTGATCCAACACAGTTGATTTAAATGGCTAAATTACCTCCTCAACATGTCTTGAAGTTCTCCAGAGGCCTGGTAATGAACTAATCGTTTGATTCAGGCATGTTGATCCAGGGTGACATCTAAAACCTACAGGACACCGGTCCTTGAGGCCTGGAGCTCCCCACCCCTGCTGTAAAATCACGTCACTAGTACTTCTTGATTATGTGATTGCTGAAAGATGAAGCAGGATGAATTCCTTAGGGCAACTCTCTGCTGTCTTCCAAAAACGGATTGGACAGTGCTTTACAAGGCAAATGAATAATGACCCAAAGCATACTACAAAAGTAACCCAAGGGTTTCTTAAGGAAAAAAATTGAATATTTTTCAATCTCCAAGTCAGTCAAGTAATTAGATTAGAGCATGTTTTTCCACGTGCTGAAGGCAGAAAGAACCACAAGCAAGCAGGAAATGTAGACGACTGTAGTAAAGGCCTGGAAGGGCATCTCAAGGGTTGAAATACAGCATTTGGTGATATCCATGGATTCTGGGCTTCGTTGACTACAAAGGATTAAAAACAATCCTTATATTTAAAATTATGCTAGTTTGCCCAAGTAATTTCAAGTCTCTGAAAATGGGGGACTAATTATAAACTGTCTGTTTTCTGAAGAGTTAAGGCCAAACACTCGAACAATTTCTTGAATTGAAAAGCACTTACATTGATTGTTTGATTTAAAATCCACTGTGGTGGTGGACAGAGGCAAAACTGCAAAAAGTATGTCGCTGTCCAACAAGTTATGGACCTAACAGTATCTGTGGCTTATCAAGTGACCTACCTCTCGGTTTGTGAGGGCATGTTCCCCAGCTAGCAGCAACATGCTCAGGCCCCCCATCTTTGTAGGATCTAGTGAGGAATAGCGTTAATTTACAAAACAGGCCAATATTTTATTATGCTACACTATAATAAATAATGTTTAATAATACACACCTGCCATGGCAAAGTTCAACTGTGGCATACTTTCCGTTTTGGGCACTTTTTTGGCAGTGGAGTCCTTGGATGAGTTGCAAGAAAAGGACCAAACTTTTTTGCGGGGATTGCTGACTGGCTGACAGGAAGTGCTCTTAACTGGTTTGCTGGTGGTGGGACACCACTTGTAGCCTGGGTTTGCCTTCATAAAGGCATCCTTGTACTGGAAGAACATACAGAATGAATTTGGTTATAAGCAAACCCTATAAGCAATTAAATTTTTATTTGATTGATCATTTCATTTTTATACTTTAACAAAGTATTTCTATTTCACATTATAAACTGACAAGCAAAAAGGATGGGTAAAAAAAAAAAAAAACACCTTTATTTTTCACAAGCACTTCTTTAAGTACTACTGGCCTAGGATAGAGTACCACAGGAATGAGTCTTAAAATTCAGAAATTAGTTTTCATTATTGTACTTTTAAATCAGAGGAAATTGCATTGAAGTTTTAGAATTCATTCAGAAGTGCACCATTTTGACCCTGCTGAACAAAACATGGAAATATCATGAACTTCAGAGTCATAAAGTAGCCTCACCTCCTTGGCCATGTCAGTGTATTTCTGTTTCTCTTTGGGTTCCAGGACAGCCCACCAGTCAGCCAGGATTTTGGTGGCCCCGCGATTGTCCAAGCGAGGGTGTTCTTGCCGCACCAGGGAGCGGTGGCGTTTGCAAAAGAGCAGAAAGGCATTCATTGGCCGGCGTGCCCGCTGTTCGTTTGTATCCTCCTCCACTTCCTCTGTTGTGACTTCACACTGTGAATGCTGTGTCTGGTTGAACAGCCCTGCCTGCTAATAAAAATTTAATAAATTCCTTTGATTCAATGTTGCACCATAGTTTCTGTCTGATTTATTTGTCATAATCTGAAATATTAGTTATTCAGTTGGGCAGAAGTTATTACAGGAACAACCTGTAGTGGAAACCCACTAACCTTCACCAGCTCCTCTTCATCTTCTTCCTCCTCCTCCTCAGAGAAATCAAGAGCCTTTTTGGAGAGAAGTGGGTGCCACTGTAGGCATTTGCGCTTGGGGCGTTTGCCAGTGACCTCCCCTGCAACAGGTGGCTCCTTGCTCCTTCCTCCACCCTTCATCGTACTACTGCACCTAAAGCAAAAGAAAAGAAAAAACACATCAGAATGGGCACTATAAGTTTGTACAAAACACACAGTGAAAGCATCAAGCATGGAATCTGTGATACTTGCTGACAAAATAGATTTTACTGGAGTGTTATAGTAATAAGATACTGTGAACAAGTAGGACAAAGGTTTACTTAAAGCTGGTGTCCCTGGGCATGCAGTGCCAAGAAATAGTATTTGCCCCCTTTCTTATTTCTTTGTTTTTTGGCTATGCTATACACTGCTACATCCAATGCTTTGCACTGTGCTTGGGGATGTTAAGCTGCTAAGCCATAGAAAACCATTTCATGAAGATCTCTATGCACTGTTCTTGAGCTGAAGGTCATATGAAGTTTGGAGGTCTGTAGTGAATGACTATGCAGAATGTTGTCAACCTATGTGTATGTGCCTCAGCCAGTGTTTGGTACTGTAATTAAATTACTTTTCCACTGAAAAAGCAGAGTAACTGATTATTGTTCGTTTTTTAATTACAGTTACTTACAATGTACTTGTGTTAAATTGTAAAATAATTGAACTCGCTGAATATCATTATTTAATTTCATTATTTTATCATCTAAAGGTAAAAGTAAACTCTGCCGCTATAACATTGATGTAGTGCAGGTGCACGTCATTTCACGCCAGTTCACTGCATAGTTGTATCCTGAAGTGGAAGATGTCGGACTTGGCTGAAGCAAGTGGCTGTTTTATGAAATGGAAATATTCCCGTCACTTCACTTTTCTGAAACAAGCAGACAAGAACATTAAAGTAATATGTAAGCTATGTCCTGGGGAGAAAAAACTATCGGCCGCTGTCAATAGCACGAGTAATCTACTGAAGCACCTGACACGACGTGAACGTTTTCTACTTACTTAGATAAGTGTTATGCTGACGTGGAAATGGAGCTTAAAGGGACATTCGAGAGTTTGGAATATATTTCCACGACTGCTGACATTTGGACCAGTCATAACAAAAGTTTTCTCGGAATGACGGCATATTGGATTGATCCTTTTACTTTTGTACGAGGACATGCAGCGCTAGCATGTAAAAGAGTTAGAGGTAGACACACATATGATGTAATCGGCAATGAAATCGAGCAAGTACATTCGGCTTATGGACTGAACTCTAAAGTGACAGCCACCGTGACCGACAACGGGTCCAATTTTATCAAAGCTTTTAGATTGCTCCAAAAATCAGACTCTGATGAAGAATCCGAAGAAGATGAAGAGGTGACATTTACTGATGTTGAGCAGTCCCTCTCCACAGAATCTGAAGGACAGTTTTCTCTCCCTCCACACTTAAGGTGTGCATCACACACACTGAAGTTAATTTTTCATGATGTTGAGAAATGGCTTCAAGCAAATGAGGCAAAATTCATCTACAGAAGTGCAACTTCAAAGTGTTCTGCAATGTGGACAAAAGCAAACCATTCTTTTGTTGCTTCAGAGTTAGTAGATAATTTTTTCAAGAAAAAACTCATAGTGCCCGTTTCAACACAATGGAATTCATTTCATGACGCCCTGTCCAGGATCACTGACATTCCCCTTGCTGACTTAAATACTGTCTGTACTCAGTTTGGAATCAAATGCTTCACTGATCGGGAGTATCTGTTCCTAAAGGAGTATTGTATTGTGTTGAAGCCACTCACTGTTGCGCTAGACACATTGCAAGGAGAAGAGAACTGCTATTTTGGAATCCTTCTTCCAACTCTGGAAGTCAGTGGTTCGATCCCAGGCTGCTCCAGTCTGCATGCCAAATATCCTTGGGCAAGATACTAACCCCATGTTGCTCTCCGATGCATCCATCGGAGTGTGAATGTGTATCAATGTAAGATACTTAGCACTTAAGCTTAGAAGTGCTTGTGTGAATGGGCGTGATTGGGTGAATGAATTAGCTGTATAAAGCGCTTTGAGTGCTCGGACAGAGTAGAAAAGCGCTACATAAGAACCAGTCCATTTACCATAAACTGGAGCTACTCGCCCAGTTTAAGGTGTCCCTGTCCCAAGCGCTCAAATTACCACTAGTCCCCGCTGTTGCCTTCATCCTACACATCTCTTAACTTCTCTTTTAGCCATTGGCTTTTTGAAGCTTCTTGTGTTCCTTAGCTAACTGGCACAGATGTTTCTGTATACTATGCCACCTAATTGGTTATGGCATTCCATGTATGCCCTCTCTGCTAGCATCTTGAACCCTACTACAGTGGGGCAAAAAAGTATTTAGTCAGCCACCGATTGTGCAAGTTCCCCCACCTAAAATGATGACAGAGGTCAGTAATTTGCACCAGAGG